ACTGACTAATTCAGCGAAAAGCTTTCATCAAACTGTATGGTTTTACAAACTCTTTGTGCTCTTTTGATTGAAGATACTATCTCTATTGTTTGTATTTGCTAAGAGTTGCTTTGTGGCCTAAGATATGGTCTGTTTTAGAGAAGGATCCATATGCTGCTGAGAAGAAAGTGTATTTCAGTCATTAATAGATGAAATATTTTATATATGTCTGTTAAGTCTGAATTATTAATTATATTTTTAGTTCTATAATTTCTATAGTTAGTTTTAGTTTGGAAAATCTATCCAGTGATGAGAAAGGCATGTTAAAGTTGCCTATCCAATATTATTGTGTTGTCATCTATTTGATTCTTGAAATTATGAAGGGCTTGTTTGATGTATGTAGATTCTCTATTGTTTGGGCCGTAAATGTTTAAGATTGTCATACTTTGTTGATGTATAATTCCTTTAAGCAGTATGAAATGGCCTTCTTTGTCTCTTCTGATTAACTTTGGCTTGAAGTCCATTTTATCTGATATGAATATAGAAACCTCTGCTTGTTTATGAGATCCATGTGAATGATAAGTTTTTTCCCATAATTTTACCTTCAGTATGTGGATGCCCCTGCCTAAGAGGTCTCTTGGATGGAACTAGAGACTATCATGCTAAGTGAAATAAGCTAATCCTCAAAAAACAATGGTCAGGTATTCTCTCTGATATGTGAATGCTAATACATAAGAAAGGAGGRGGAGGCAAAAGTAGAAGTTCATTTATTAAACAAAGGAGAATGAAGGAAAGGGAGGATGGATTGGAGTAGGAAAGACAGTAAAATGAATTGGACATAACCTTCCTATGTTTATATATGAATGCACAACCAATGAAACTCCACATAATAGACAACCACAAAAATGGATACTAATTAGAATAAGTTATACTCCATATATGTATATGTCAAAATATACTCTACTGTTATGTATATGTAAAAAGAACAAAAAAAAATTTTTAAATGAAAAAATAAAGAATAAGGATACAAGAGCTTTTGTTCACTGAATTTTAAATTTAAACTGAAAAAAATTATAATACTTACAAATTTATTTAAAAATAGCATAATAAATCTATTGCAAATTAACATAAATCATGTTTTTATAAAAGATAAGTGTATTTTACAAATTTAAAATATGTCTAATGTCTGGCTTAATGGAAGGCAGTTGGATGACTAATATATGTGAGGCTCTGGGATCAATCCTCAGCACCACAAAAATAAAAACAAAAAAGGAAGCAGTTGGATCYTTCTACTTGCTTCCACATCAGTCTGTGATGATGTAATGATGCCTATGTCAGGTACCTTCTAGAAAACCTTACCTCATGCACATGAGAAGATGAAAACCCAAAATATAGAGGAAATATTAACTTATCTGGAAACCAGGTTTGACCTCTTTGTATATGCATTGAAATTCATCAATCTAGTTTTGCATAAAGCATGCTGACAAATCACGTGAAGGCTAATCTGACTCTTTCAGCTCTTTTCCTACATTAAAGGTAGAGGGGCCCTGACGACTGAAATGAAGTAAATCAAATTCCATGCATGTCTGATTTTGTCCAAATGAAGTCAACTATTATGCATAACTATAATGCACTGATAAAAGGAAATCCTAATCAAGTACCTATGCTCATSTGGTGACCAAATGTATTTCCTCTCTTGTGAAGGAGTTAGAGTCAGTGCCTGAATGTCTTTCTTAACACTTACCTGCAATCAATTGTCTAACTGTAACTTTCTTAACCACTGGCTAAAGATTCAGAATGTTTATTCTATCTTTCGTTTTCAATTTTTTAGTTGTCAGTGGATCTTTATTTACTTATATGTGGTGCTGAGAATCGAACCCACTGCCTCACACATGCTAGGCAAGCGCTCTATTACTGAGCTACAACCCCAATCCTATTCTATCTTTAAATAAGTTTTATTAAAATGTAAACTTTCTCCCAAACCACATATTTTTGTCATTTTGTTGCCTGTTTTTTAAATGGCAGAGTATTGAAGGTTAAGGGGAAATTTTGCAATCTCAGGGTAAAAGATTTTCAGAGCAAGGAGAAAACTGACAGGCCATCTAGACTAAATCTTCATTTTACAGATAAGGGAATAGAGACACAGGAAGGTCGAGCAACTTGTTCTAAAGTCAACCAGCTAGAAAATGAAAGAACTAGAGACCTTTTTCCCTGCCTCCAGCACTCTGTCTGCCAATCTCCCAGAACGTACATCAATGCCTTCTAGGGAATTTCATAAGAAACCTTTAAAAGAAGGCAGATGAGGAAAGTCAGTGTTTGCACTCTGATCTTTTAGAGGTCAGGAGAGATTTGGTGGCTTTGCCCTTGAGGGTAATTGCTGCCCAGGGCTGCTATGGAAGAATTAAAGTTCCAACAAGGAATCCAAAGCATTCATCAAGCCATAAGGGGACAGAACTGGGAATTTTCTCATTTTTGCAGCTTGATAAGTCAATTTGGGCACAAACCATGGCCTAACAACTTATGACRGGCCTGTTTTCTACACAGATGGCTTTCATGTGTCCAAAAAGGACTCAGACAAATTTGACCTAAGTCTATGAATCGCCCTGCTACACTGCTTATGGCTTGGTTTCATGGAAGTTGGACAAGGATCATAGATTTTCTCAGGGATGAGAGATTGCCACCAATTTTTGAGCTTGCTTTGGGTACAGATAAATTTCCTGGATTTGCTCCAAACACTAGTTTATTAATTTATCCTTTCCCCTTTGCCTTCATTTCTTCCCCAACAAGTATTTCCTGAAGGCTGACTTAGTACAAGACAGTTTTAGGAACTATGAAGGAAATATATTAACAATCTCTCTCTGCATGTTATACTTTATTTTTCAGTGTTCTCATTGATCGGGCAGTCTTAAAAAGCCTCTAAATTCTATTATGTTACCCAATTCTAATCAGGGTCCATCTTAATGGCTGATAAAATGCCTAAAGAATCTCCAGTTGGGATATTTTGTCATCCACATTAGGATTCTTCCCTTTTGACTACTGATTTRTACTTCCATGTTAGTTAGTCTTTGATTGCTGTGACAAAAATACCTAACATGTACAATGTAAAGGAGGAAAGATTTACTTTGGCTCAGAGATTTACCATGGTTGTCTGGCTCCATTGCTCTGGACCTAAGTTSAGGTAGAACATCATGGTGGAAGGGTTTAGTGGAGAAAAACTACTCAGCTCATTATAGCCAAGAAGCAGGGAGAAAGCGGGAGGAAAAGGGCTGGGAACAAGAAATTACCCTTCCGGGGCAAGCCCCCGTGACCTACTATCTCCAGCTAGGCCCCACTGCCCATAATTTCCACAACTTTTCAATAATTCATTCAAATTTTTAATCCACAAAATGGATTAATTCACTGATGAGGTTAGAGCCCTGATGATCCATTCATTTCCTCAAAGCCCCACTTCTGAGCATAGTTATATTGGGGACCATGCCTTCAACACATGAGCCTTTGGGGTTCACTTCTTACCCAGACCATAATGACCTCATGTGAAGCTCAAGCTGTTAGTAAGATAGTCTGACACCTTCTCATGCAGTCACTCTGACTGATTTTAAAAAAGGAGCTTTGTTTCTATTATTAGAGAAATAAGAGGAATTTATCAGCCTCACCTCTGGAGCCAGATTGCCTGAATCTGAATCTCACTTTCCTGCCTATTATCTGTGTGACTTTGAGAAATTTACTTATTTCTATCTCTTTATATGTAAAATGCGGGAAGGGTTAGGAACTTACCTCAGCATTGTTGTGAGAACGAAAGTGCTTAAAGCAGTTCATCACTGTTAAATTATTCAGAACCTCAAATAGCATATAGACAAAAATAAAGGCTCAGAGTTCAAACTACTGCTTTCCATCTTGCTTTCCCCAAGGTTCCTCCACAGAACACTGCTTGGGGAAAAAAAAAAAAAAAAAAAGCAGTTGTTCCGTTAAAGTTCTTGTATGTAAATGTTATTAGGCAATTAGGAGGGTGCTTCCTTGATAGCATTTTAATTCTTACGGTATAATTCTTCACTGAAAACCCTATTCAACCTTCACATACCCTGGTGAATGTAAAGATGAAAGTATTGTCATGCAACAGACATTTTGTCTTGTGTCATTTCATTCAATCCCACAGGAGAAGGCCGTGTCTGTTGGCATCACTGGCTCTTACAGCAATAAACCCATCAGCTCTGCAGCTACTGAGGACCAACTCCATTCACATTAATGGCAATTCAGTGCTGAAAGACACAGTGTATGGGGGAGAGGCACTGAGGCTAGGAACATGTACAACGTGGGTTATGGGAAGAGGGAAGGACACAAGAGAGAAGAATAAGGGAAGGTTTTCTGGAGATTTTGAAGCCTGATCTGTTTCAAAATTGTATGAGGAAGAGGCATTACAGGTAGAAGGATCAGCCTGTTTTGTGCTTTCCTTCCTATTTATTATCCTTACTACAAATGACAAAATCATGCAAATCAACCTATTTACTATTTCTTATGTGTTGTTACTGACTCRTTTGCAGAATGTTCTTTATCTGCCTTCTGCTTAATTTGTGACACAGTCTGAGATATTATTTTCCTCAATGCCTATAAATCCTTATTGTTCCCATTGTCAYGGGCAAGCACCAAGCGGGTATTGTTTTTTCCATTTCATATTCATCCCAAGTCAGTAAGCTGATGCTTCTGGAACATCCAGGATTTGATCTTTCTAATTATCTATCAGAATTGAAATGAGTAACTGATGCATAGTCCCCTCTGCACACAGACTCTAAAGAGAGTCCCCAGGCTGTTCATGTGCACACTGAAGTTCAGGATGAATTCATCTACCATTTGTCTACACTTGCTAGCATCATCTGGGGCTTACATGGCTCCTTTGTGCTGCCCCCCGCCCCATCTATTCTATCAAGCTTGATGTCTCTTTGTTTAAAGTATTGCTGGGTTGCTACACTTGCTGTCTGCAAAATTTCTTCTGTCTCCTTACCAATCTTTCTTTTTTTGTCTCATAGCACTGCCAGAGGAACACGACGGGGGAGCATTGTGAAAAATGTCTGGATGGTTATATTGGAGATTCCATCAGGGGAGCACCCCACTTCTGCCAGCCATGCCCCTGTCCGTTGCCCCACCTGGCCAAGTAAGTCCTAAAAGAAGATGGTCTCTTCTAATGTATATCCCCATTTTTCCCTGAGAATTTTCCACAATCAAAACCTCATATTGAGATGGGACTGAAAAATATATAGAAAAAGTCTCTAATGCAGATGCACTTTGSGGAAACATAAGCATATGCAATATATGTAATGAGGTGATGATTCTGTTCCCAAAATACTGGAGTGTCTCATCAGGTCATGAAAGGTTCCCAAGTTCCACAGCAAGGCTGGTCTCACCTTTTCTTAGCTATCTCTAGACCTAGAGAGATCTCAACTGGTATTGCCAACAGTCTCGTTATATATAGCATTTTTGAGCAGTATCACCTCTTCTGACTCTCAGAGTAGAAATGTCCCCACATGAGGCAACCAGATGTACTTTTCAATCAGAATTAGAACACAGATCAACAGAAGGCATCTTTAAGGTCAGTTGGCTCACAGAAGACTCAAAAAAAAAAAGTTCTCACTAACTTCTAACTATATTTTAACCTAAGTAAGAAGTTAAAGAGAATATACATGCATATTAATGGAAATAGTAGAATTATTTTTCATCACGTAAAATGTTTAAATCCAGTAACAAAGTCATGTCTGTCCATTTTATTGACTGAAAAGTGGTGGTAAGTAAAATTTAAATGGGGTAATGATGATTGGTTTTGCAAATAGCAACCCATTCTCCAATTTTCTGATACCAACTGGGTGTCCTATAATCAATTCAGTTCTGACTGTAAGTATCTGGAGTTAGTGCATACCCCTGAGGTTAAGGAGTCAGTTTCACAAGACTGCTCCCATTCAGCTTCCAATAAAAAATGGGGTCTCCTCGCTACCCAAACTTTGGTCCAGCAGACTACAAAGGTGGGGGCTCCCTGAACCCTTCCCTCGGGTTAATGACTAGAATGACTCATAGAACTCAGAACAGTACTTTTTTATGATTATAAATTTATTATAAAGAACTTGGGAACAATCAAAGGAATAATTATAAGGAAAATGTGGAGGGGGGACAAAAGGAGAGGGTACAGAGTCCACACCTACTCCAAAGACACATCCAGGTGTACACAATCCAGATCTCCTATCAGAGCTTTCTTTCTTGAGTTTTTTATTAAATCACCAGCCATTAGTGGCTGATCTCTACCTCCAGCTTCCTCCTCCATCYTGGAGGTTGGAAGGGAGAGTTCTAGATCCATGGTTGTTTCCTCTGTTGACCAACCTCCACTCTGAAGCCATCTAGGGATCTAATGAGTCTCCGCATAAACATAAACATAGGAATGGTTCAAAGAGGCTTGTTATGAACAAAATGAAAAAGATCCTTTTCACTCAGAAAATTCAAGGGTTTTCAAAGCCCTATGCTATGAACCAGGGACAAAAGACAAATATATGCCTTTAATTATACCACAAATAGAAAAACTAACCAACTCAGGTTCCTATTTCTGTTTTACCTACTCTGGATCGCAGATTTTTCTTTAGTAAATAAATCAAACTAAGGTAGGATCTGCATCACAGGCTGTGAAATTGGACTAGGACAAAATGTGTGGGAACTTTGAGTTGGTGCCATGCACAAAAAAGGATGAAAAGGATGTAAGGTAGATGTGGACTTTGAAGAAAACATAGTCTAGTATTTTCTCTAATGTTCACATTCTATGTACTCTATGGCAAGCCCTGTTCTAAATGTTTAGATGCAATATTTATATAATTGACAGCTGGTGTGAAGATTGAATTAAATAACACACATAAAATGACTTCCTAAAAAAGCCGAAGTATCTTTCCTTTCCCCACTTCTCTCTCTCTCTCTCTCTCTCTCTCTCTCTCTCTCTCTCTCTCTCTCTCTCTCCAACCCACCCACACACAAACACACCCATACTCACTGATAAAGAGAAAGAGAGAAGATGGCAACCAGATTTCTCTCTCATTGTTTTCCTTAATTGAATACCAATATTGACTAACATTTCATTCAAGAGTTTATGACAGAAGCCTGACAGTTGATGATGTCAGAAATTATATAGCCCATTTTTCCTTAGAAACCATTAAACTTCTTCCTTGGTTTGTGATCTTTCATGTCTGATAGTATTAATAACGTGTGCAAGATAAATGGCACTGAGTATGAGAGTAAAAAAACACAAATATTAAATGTTCCACTTTTTTCACTCAAGGATGTCCTGATTTATGAGCTCCCTTTTGCCTCATCTAGGTATAATCATTAATTGTTCATTAATATTCTCCTCTGGAATATGAGTCCTAGCCACACCTGATCTTTATCACACTTCTTCCCTGCTATGGCATAGTTATTTTGTTAAATATATTACCTTTAACTTTCTAGTAACCAGTTCTGGTCATTCAAGCATGTAAATATAGATACTGTATAGCATAATCTGCTCAAAAAGGGTTTTATAAGCTTTGAACTACTGGCAATTTCTTTGGAAAGTAACATGAACTAGGAAGGCATTCTCAGATGTTTTCTTCTAATTGCATTGTCTCATTTTTGCACTTTTTGCCCCCCTTCCCCTGACAAAGATTTCTCATGTAAATTATCTGACATTAATGTCTTGAGATACAAAGCTTTTAGAACATCATTCCTTTTGGACTAAGACTTGGCAACATGAAATCAATCTTACAGTATACTTACTGAGCACTTATTATGTGCCAATATAAAAGCTGATATTTTTTTTTAAAGAGAGAGTGATAGAGGGAGAGAGAGAGAGAGAGAGAGAGAGAGAGAGAGAGAGAATTTTTTTAATATTTATTTTTTAGTTCTCGGCTGACACAACATCTTTGTTTGTATGTGGTGCTGAGGATCGAACCCGGGCCGCACGCTTGCCAGACGAGCGCRCTACCGCTTGAGCCACATCCCCAGCCCTAAAAGCTGATATTTTTGAGAACTTATTATGAACCAGTCATGTACTAGTTACTGGTGATACAGCAGTGTATAGAACAGTCAAAAAGTCTTGTCTTCATTAAAATAGGACAAAATACAGCAGTTTTTGAAGCTCCTACAGTAAATGACTTTACCTTTTGAGCCCAATTATCCAGTATTTTACTTGAACAAGAAGCACTTCTGAAGGCTGTTAGCTTTTTCCAATAAATGAAGCAGAAACTTGCCAGTTGGGTAATGAGTCTCCTTAAAAGTGTCCTAAAGAAGGAAGCAGTTGCCGAAGATATGGAGAACAACCATTTCTAACCAGCTCTGTGTGTGTGAGAGTGGATCCATGGTTCAAAGCAGCAGCTGAGGGACCTCGACAATATGTCCCCAAGTTAGTGCTTACTCACAGACAGGAAAACAGATTTGAGGTCAAAAAACCTACTGAAAATTAAAACAGAAAATGTGTTACTTATAAGTAAACAGCATTATGTGGTGGGGAGAGGAATTAGGAAGAGTGTAAAAGACCTCTGAGATTTTGCAGAATTTTCTCTGTAGCCGCAAAAGTTCTACTGATGGGGAAATACTGGCTATCAAAGGGTAGGAAGTGGGCAACCTATGATCACAGCACTAAAAAACATTTGCTTGGGTCCTGTTAAGTTCTAACCTTTGATTTGTTCTTATTATTGACTTATGTTTAACTGACCTCAAATATTAACCACATATCATACCAAAAGTATGATGTCCCTTGACTCTTTCTGCTTTTTAAAAAATACTCATAGTGCCACATTCTATAAAATGAAAAGTGTCAGAACATTTTTTTTTAAAGCTACCTGATATGGAATCTGAATTCCACTTGAAAGATGCCTGGGTGGAGCCTACAGACCCAGGATTTAGATTTCAGTTACAGTAGCCACATCAGAAAGCATGGAAATAATGCTTGAGGGAGTTCAGCAAACAAAGGACTGAATGGTTTTTCTTTATGTTCCCTGTCGGTTTTCTCARAGCAAAAAGCATCTTTCCATTTGAAGGGGGTGCCACGGTGGTTAGAGTGGGCTGAGAAAGATTCCATGTTGTCATTTTCCTAGCCAATAATGGAAGTTGCTCTAAGAAAAACAAACAGTTAATGCTTATGAAAAACAAAAAATGAACCTCCTTGGATGGCTGGTGCTGCCTCTGAGTCTGCCGCCATTGCAACCCACGGCCATGCAGTTGTTCCCAGGGACCATTTGCATAGAGTTCATTTATTTATTTTGGGGTTGACCAGAGATCTCCCATGTCTACCAGTAGCTATGGTAATCGCTCCAATTAAAGAAAATGTCATCTGTTTGAAACAGTAGGACATCAGCTAAGGCAGGCGACTTCAGACGCCCCCACAGATGTTTCATCTTCGAGCTGTGGGCGGTCTGCTGGTGGAACACCTTCAAAGAAAGATGCATGAGGGATTTGTTCATGTTCTGGACTCAACTGAGGCATTTCTTTAAGTCAGCTGAGGAATAAAAACAAGCAAAATAAAGGGTAAAAGGCCAAGGAAATGTAATTTCCTTGGGATGTTTTTACCAAACTGTTAGAAAAAATAAATTGTGGGTATTGCCTTGCACTGAGAAGCACGTACTATTTTCTGACTGATTTTATAAATGTCTTCAAACAAAGCAAACACATCCATTTGCTTTCCTTCAGAGATCATTAGGGTAAAATTGCTGATACATGTAGGATTGTGAGAGCAGCAGGTCACACTCCATCAATTACCTAGTTCTTAAGCCTAAACTAATTTAAAAGTCTTTAAAATTTTTCACACTCACCCCTTACACCTCACACAATTCATGTGTCCCTGTATATTTTTCCATCCACTGAATATTAATACTGCATTTCTTCTAAGTTAATAATTAGGATAGCTATTTATGCTGTTGAACCAATGTATTAATTACATTTCTGCCCTGTGTCCTAATTTTTATTATCCTAAAAACAAAAAGGGAAGGGTTCCATAGATTTAAATCTTTTTATTGTGAGTCCCATTTCTTGCTTGACAACTTGCTTTGCAACTTTGATCAATTTCAGCCAATCTCTTCACCACAATTCCTAATCTTTAATGTACACAAGAAAAGAAATTAAGGTTCTGTAAAGATTATATAGTTCAGGACTCTTATTAATCTTTAAAAGAAGAGGGCTACTGCAGAAAAATATGGGGAAAGTTTTAAATGTACATACAGAAAGTAGTGGGATAAGAGGAAATTCTTATATTAATCTAAAATCACAGGTAAATTTTGATTATTTAATTGCTAGCTTTGAAGTATATATTTGAGACTCATAGTTGAAAAGTAGATGATATATATATAGATAGATAGATCAGGTATACTAGAAATTCCCACAACTTTAAACAAAAATAATGAAGTATCTCTCTGGAGAAGTAAGGTATGCCTGGAAAATGGTCCTGCCAATGGAGAGGCATTTTCTCTCTGAGCCTGCTGATCCAAATTTTCCTTAAAGGTAATGATTTAGTTTAAATAAATAAAGCAAATGATCACACCCATTAATATTTAAGGAGGACCAAGGTAAAAATTATGTAATAAAAAATTAACATAGTCTTTTCAATGATATAAGGTAAAAATTATGTAATAAAAAATTAATATAGTCTTTTCAATGATATATGGAATTGACTTCTGACATTCACTCATAATTCCAGTTTTGCAGAATCCTGCTATAGAAAAAATGGAGCTGTTCGATGCATTTGTAAAGAAAACTATGCTGGACCTAACTGTGAAAGGTAGGTGAATAAAATTCTCCACTTTCAGTGTGGGTCTAAGGAAGCTTTCTGCTTTTTACTCATTTCTCTGCCACGCCTCTCTTCAGTAGGACTTACAGTGGATGCTTAAGAAGAAGGGTTGGAGGACCACATTTCAGAACCTCTTGGAGAACTTTCTCCAAATCTCATGCCCCGATACAGCTATGACAATAGGTTCCTTTGGGGTCCAAGCCAGGACTACATCTCAGGATAAAAAGATAAGGAGAGAGGAAACTGAGACTGTGCATGTTGGGAAGATACTCTAGGTAGTTTTATTAACACTCCTTTCTCCATCTTTAAGAATATGTAAAAAAGAAAAAGAAAAGAAAAAGAAAAGAAAGAAAAGAAAAAGAGTGAAGCTTCCTGGGTAAATTTTATAAAGCACTAACCTATTATTTAACTCATTTATACTCCATCTCCTGAAACTCATCTGTGTTTGGATTTTCTGAATCCCTGTTTTAAAATTGTTCTGGGCTTTGCTCAAATAAGGAAGACCTTGGCAACTAAGGATGCATGCAAGGCTTCTCATTGAATGATTTCCTAAGATATTTGCCATTAGCCTGCCTGTCAGCTGCTCACGATTTTCTAAGATGAAATGTTTTTCACTGAAAGAGAAGCAAGGTCTTTGTATTTTTAACAGGAACATCATTAACATTGGCCTCACCATTGTGTTTAGGCAGCTAAATGGTGTATAGTTTTGTGAAGACAGGGAGGGAAGGTCCCAGAGCTACTAGTCAAATTTCCAATGTAGTCACAAGTCTGTGGGCTGCTCCTCTCAGTGACAACATACTCAGAGGAGGCCCCCCCCCATCAGATTGGGGCTCACAAATGCTGCCTGGGATTTTAACAGTAAGCCTTTAATTATAAGCAATCTTGCCTCCAATAAAACACTCCTGAGTCTCCAAAAAGTAGTTCTGGAACCCAAAAGAAGCCACAATGTCTGTGTTACAGAGAGAATTTTACAATATTATTATGATTATTAAATGTGTGAAATGAAGATACTGCTTTCACTCAAGAGATTTGAATTTTTTGCTTTTTGTTGTTTTTGTCTGAAAATGGAAACTGAGATTGGGGAATTTCATCCCTTAGAAGGGACTGACAAGAGTGATCAGATTACATTGAGTTTATTAATGTTCATGACACATTTATTCTATATTTCCTTACTTGGGGACATAGGAATATGAAGATCCTGATTACACATTTTCTGGTTCACTGGGGGTCTGAGAAGTTGTTAATCAGCCAGTGATGAAAGTTTTCCTCCTCAGTATTTTAGGTTAAACTCAGTGTACTCAGGTAGGATCCGAGCAGCATTGCTAGTGGGTATGCAGTGGTTTTTATGAGAGGAGTTAGTGCCCCTAAATAGAGTTCTGTTGATCAAGTGCAAGGCCTGGCAGAAATGACCTAGCCTTGGCCCTAGGGAACATCATAGCACAGTCATGCAGATAAGTGTTCTGTCAGCAAGAGTGGCCCCAACCCTGGCACAGCATGCCCACCCCAGATGTGGAACTGTAGATAACAAATCCGCCTTTGCCCAGCAAGGCTGAGTCAGGCCCTGGAAGTTTAGGATTTAGAAAGAATTTGGGACATGGAAGGTGAGTGGTAAAAGAGATTTAGCATCAGCCTGTATCTGAGCTCAACCACTTGTGATGCTCCCGGGGAAGTTATTAGATCTAAGTGCCATTCCCACATCTACAGAAAGGAAAAGATGAAGGAATCCACCTCATAGGGCTGTTTCGAGCTGATAACAGAAAACTTTTCATACAGCACCTGGCATTTAACATTAATAAATGTTCCATGAAAATTAACTGATGGYAACTTGAGTCCTTGTGGTCATTGTCCACCTGCTACCTCTGGCATAATGTGTTCCTGGGATGAGTTGGCTTATCTTCTTGAATCTCAATCTCCTGAGCTAGAAATTATGTCCTTGGAAGAAACAATGTCACTTATGAATTGCTTCCTATGTTCCTGTTACTTTGCATTCCTCACTAGTCAGCCTCATAACACTCTGAGAGGAGGTCTTGTCATTTTGCCAGTGAGGAAACCAAGCTGAGGGAGGTGGTCGGGCTCATCAAAAGCTGAATTACTCCTAATCAGGGGACACAGACTTTGAACCATTTGGCTGAGAAGTCTGATTCTTGTCCTGTCCTCACTCTGTTCTTCCCAAGTGCCTTTTTAAGTGTCTTCTATTTTAGAGGGGCTTTGATGATCAATCAGTTAGATGAGTTGCTGATGTGCTGGGGAACCACTGCTGATGTTATTCACTTTGACAGGAGGGTGCACCAACCAAGGGACCAACCAGTAAGCTTCCCCGCCAGGAYCTTTCATCTTTATGGGAAGGCCCTGTTTGAGGGACTTTCTTAGCTTTTTCTWTTTTCCTATCCACCCTGCTTCACACCTTCACCCCTCTTCTACACTTCTTAAAGGGACAGTACTGAGATCTTTTACATAAAAAAAAAATCAATCTTCAATTCAGTGTGGAAGGGCACAGGGCAGATTCATCTAAGTCACAATTTCTTGTCCTCAAGGAATATCAAGGCTAAGGGTGGAGACAAACCAGAAAAATCATTCATTCCAAAGCAGAAAAAAGTGAATGTTAAACACAAGGACAAGCATAATCTACTAAGAGTGTAGTGGGAGAAGTGATTTCTGCCCCATGGAGGGGCTGGAGCATTCAAAAAGAGGTAGCCTTAGCTGTTCCTGATTTGGGTTTGACCCTGGGAGGGTTGGAGAGCTGGGGTTCTGTTTTGAGTTTAACAACCAAGTTCTTAGGTTGAGTTAACTTAATCTAAGTTTTCAATATATTGATGAATTTGAACCCCTCTACAAGAGCTTTTCAAAACATGCAGATGACTTGTATGGATATCAGTTTCAAACAAGAGTACAAATTAATCCAAACCAAGAATGCTGTAGGTCTTTCTTCATTTAGAGATGATTTCATCAAGTGATGTTAACTTAGTCTGTTTTGTGTTGCTCTAACTGGATACCACAAAGTAATTTATGAAAAAATAMATTTATTTCTTATAGTTCTRGAGGCTGAGAAGTCYAAGTTGAGAGTCTGTGTCTGGCAAAAGCCTTCTTGCTGGTAGGACTCTGAAAAGTTCCAAAGTGGCACCAGGCATCACACTGCAAGACAGTGCAAGCTAGCCAGAGARAGCTTGCTTTTATAAATAGCCACTCACATTCCTACCCATTAACCCAAGAATGGATGAATCAAATCACCTCCCTAAGGTCCCACCCCCTGCTCAAATACCATGAACATGGGATTTTGAGGGATTAAATTTCCAACGCATGAAATTTGGATAAAGCATTCAAATTCAAGTGATTTTTCAAATAATTGTGTGGTAGTGTCTCCTAGAAACTCCCCAATACCTACTTCACCACCCACTCAAAAAAACAACATCTAAGGGGAAGGCCTAGAAACTTTCTTTRGGATCCTCATGCACCAGAGTTCTCATTGCTTTGTGAACTATGGCTGTACTCCAACCTTCAATACCACACCAATGTAATAGAAAAGGATTCCTTAAACTGTAGCCTAAGAACCCCTGGTGTCCTTAGAAATCAAGGAGGTTCATGGATTCCCTGTGGATATTTTCTTAATATTATGTTTAAATTTAATCAATAATTTTGCTTGTTGACTTATGTTCTGGACTTTCTGTAGGGTCCTTTTATAACAAAGGGAGATCTATCTCAGTTTAGGAGAGAAGAATTATAGGAGTGACAGTGTGTCAAGAACATGCTATAGGCAATCAGTGGTCAAATGACATGATATCAATACAAACTTTAAAACTAAAGATTCTGAAAAGAAAATTGGTGGGAGGGATGAGTCATCACACAGCACCCGCCAGGATGTGCATACAGAACTCAGACAAAATATCACATCATGTTGCTGGTGGCCATTCGATTACAACAGAACATCATCCRTGGTTTTGATATAATGTTGTTAATTTTAATTGGATGAGTTTGTGGTTTTGTTTGTGTTTTATTAGAAAATTTACTTTGGTTTTCAAGACATATAAAATTCATAGACATAAGGAGTTTTGACCTAATTTTATATTTGATAAAAGATAATTGACATGAACACTGGAGAGTATTTTCTATGAAAATGTCTTGCCTTTAAAAAGGATCCATACTATATACAAGTGTGAGATGCCTAAAACATAAAACCCATTTTGCTTACTCTACTATACAGTACAGATCAACACAGACACTCACCCCATCTTAACAACATGATTCTTAGTCTGCTAGGGCCCCTTCCTGCCTCTTGTTCCTAAAGTCTGTCCCCACTCACAATTTAAACTCCATGTGCTCCCAAAAGCCACCAGACAACTGGAAAACTTACTACATCTTCTTGCACTGATACTATGAACATGATGGTAAAAATGACAGCTGGCATTTATTGATTGCTTACTCTTTATCGATCACTGTTAGAATCACTTTACGTATAATGACACATCAAAGCCTCAAAATAATCTTATGAGGTACCGTCTTTACTTTATTTACAGAGAAAGAAACTGAGACACAGAGAAGTTAAGACACTTGCTCACAAATCATACAATTTAACTATGAGCTCCTCCAAAGAAGCAGTATCTTATCCACCCACTCTTCCTCCATCACAGCTTCTGGCACTCTGCAGGCATTCGGTTAAATGTATTTCAGTAATATTTTTTTTTAAAACTAAGAAAACATTAACAGCACTTTTATTGGTTCCTTTAGGAAAGGAGTGATGCAGCAAGAGTCAGTCATTTCCTACCTCATTATTCCCCCCAACTCCTTTTCCATCTCAAGAAAATTGCAAAGGGTGACCCAGAAGTGACTAAGTAAGTCACTGCTCTCTGACTAAATTTTCAAGTTGCAAATAGAACTGGTTTGCCAATGCAGATAATTATAAAATGTACAAGTGTTATGGAAGGAGTTTTGCAATTCTCATTCTCATCCCAGCACGACTTTTACTCCACAAGAAGTACAGTCTAAAGATGGGGAACATGAGACTTAGAGCCATGAGGGGACTTATTTTCAGGTCATACAATCAGTTAGTGGTAAATCCCCAAAAACAAAACCCAGGACCTCAATGTTCTCTGCAGTGTTCAACTGATAAACTTAATGTAATTTCAGTGCTTTGGTATTCCAATTGCCTCCCATAGCAGCCTGAAAAATAAACTTTCATTAATTTGATGTTGTGGTGAAGTAAGAAATGTGCTAAGACTCTATGTAAGTCTTGTTGCTTGAGGATTGGGAAAGAAGAATGGGGCAMGTTAAAGCATATCCAAGGTGACCTTGAAACTCTAATGGGAAAGGCAGAACATAGTGTCATCAGAAATGATGGTAACAGTGCTATTGGTTTTGAGAATGGCCTTAGTGACAGAAAAAAAGAATAAGGAAAAGGATGAAGAGAAAGCTAACAGTTATTGACGCTTTATGATCCAGGAAAGTAGTCTAATTTTTTCTGAAGGCCCCATGTCTTTCAAACAAGCTATTAGCTCTAGAATTTGCAGAGTTCTTCTTACAACTTTCTGCTTTGGGCTTTGCCTCTGGACTCCTGCCATGTTCTTATTTCCCAGTCTTTCATAAAGAAGTAGAGAACATTTGAATGGCACCTACTATGGAACAGGTGCTTTCTTCTTTCTTTAACATCTTCTTATTTACCCTCAAGAACAATTACTGGGTGATACCCCTTCCAGCCCAGAAAAGTTTGTGCTTCCCAGGCTGGGAGTTAGGGCCCCCTTGAAAAAGGCATTCAGTGACAGATATAGGCCCTAGGAGGAGAAACAGAAAAGAAAGAGGAGAAGAGCTCCCCCAAATCCCAAAACAATAATTTTTGGTTAAAATCATCTTTTCTCCAAACAACATATCTTTTGGTTTTGGGTTTTACCCAAATATTATGATCACTAAATGAAGTGACAAAATTCATATGTTGTTTTTCTTGTTTGCATTGTATAATTATCAATTCTATTTTCTCAAGATAGAACAAGCCATTAATAGATCTAGAAATGAGATTATGTAAGAAAAAAAATGGACCAGGCTATTTTGGGGGGTTTGTTGTTTTGTTTTGTTTTGTTTTGTTTTTGTTTGTTTCCTTTTCATACTGGGGATTAAATCCATGGCCTCTGGCATGTTAGRCTAGCGCTCTACCACTGAGCTACATTCCCAGCCCTCCAATGCTGATTCCAAAGCCAACTACTGGACCTTTTATATCCTTGTCATTAGCTCTTTGAGGGTGGGACATAAATAGCATTTGATTATTCAACTGTAATAATCATTAACTTCTTAATAARTTAATTCATTAATGCCAGACTTGTGAAGTGGAAGCATTAAACTTAAAGTCCCATAAGAGGGCTGAACCCTGCAGCAATGAACAGGTAACTTAGTTTTCCATGCTCAAGCTGCCTTATCTAAATACACAGAGATTTGTAAGAGCTACCAAAAAGTAAAACTTTGCATGATCATTTTATGAAATCAGTAGTGTCTGCAGTTAGGACTCAACTTCAGAGTTGCCTTTGGAACTACCACAAACAGGTATTCTTGAAATTCAGAGTAAGTCAGAGTAGGTTTCCCTGTGATTGAGATTCCAATTTACAAAATAGAAARTTTGGCTTTTCTCTTGTGAAAGACCAGGGAATAAACTCTGGAGATCAAATACAGTGGAAATAAATGTAAAAGCAAATAAATGCATCTGGAAATGATCTTGAGACAGCCCCTTCACTCCCTGTCCTCAAGATTCCCAGCTACACATCAAGGTGGTAGATGTCACTCTTATTGTAATGAGCCTAAGAGTCTAATATTATTCTTTTGTTGAACTGCAGAAAAGGATAGAAATTCAATCCAGCCACATATCCCATAGAAGGATAATTTATGCTAGCATAGGGAACAGAGGGTGTAAGACATGAGAAAGTATGAATAACAAGACTCACTGTATATTTCCTCTTGGCRTCTCTTTGTGGGATGTGTAGAACTTACGTTCATTCTCGTCTTTTTCATAGACTTTGGTTTCTAGAGTTTATTATATTATGTGTAGTTATGTTTAATTCACTTATTGTCCTTTCAAAGCATGGGCTGTGTGCTTTTGCTCTTCCTGTTTCCTTCTATGCCTTACATAAGATGGACATGAATTGTCCCTCTGTTGAATGGATTCACTCATTCATTTATAGCAGCAGCAGTGTGGTCCTGAATGGAGCAAAGGAAAGAGCATCAGGGTTGGAAGGTCTGAGACTTGCACTGTGACTTCCTAGCTATGTGACCCCAGAAAACTGAAGTGGCCTGTTAGCTTCAGAAGGCCAGACCTCTGTGGCCTTTATCCCAAATTTCAGCAGTCTCATATAGGTGGAACTATGGAACACACTGCAAGCAAAGGGCATAAAGATTGAATACAAAGTCTTCGAAAGTCATTTTATTAGGGTCCTGGGATTTCAGGTGTGATTTTTTTTTCATTTCTCTATTTCTCAAGTGTTCTGAATCATGACTCTTTAAAAGGAAGCCTTTAAAAACTTGATGTCTTATTATTACTGGCTAAGGCCTGTTGATTTCCTTGGAATGCTCTCCCTTCCTTTCCACTCCCAATCCAAGCCCTCTGTACCCAACCCGGGTCTCCCTGTTCCAGCCTGGAATCCATCCTGCACACTAAGGCCAGCACTGGCTTCCTTCACCATCACTTTCATCATACTGGAAAATTTTCTCTGGCTTTTTCTTTTCCCCTGTCACATAAGAACTAACTCTCTACTGACCTTCACTCCCCTTATGGTGTGACCACATATTCCTTCCAGCCACTCCCAAACTCTCTTCAGCTCCAGTTAGCTCATCTTCCACACAAGGTTAGGGTCTGAAGGAAAGGAGATTCCACAATTAACCAGCAGACATGTATAGATTTACCCATACACTATTCTTTCAAAGCTTGAGCCAAACTTTAAAAATTGCAATTCCACATAAAAACCCAAATGTTCACTTTTTTTCTTCAGACACAGGAAGATCTGACAACAAAAATCCTTCATTCCCTCAAGGCTACATTCTGGTAACAATTGACTGTAACCAAGTAGCAGCTCCCCACTTAGATGGAGCCCATGGTCCACCTCTCATGGCAGGGACTCTCCTGGTACATTTGGGAAAAGTAGAGAAAGGCATTTTTTCCTTCCTCTGGACAGAGACAGCCCCACCCAGAGTGCACAGCTTGGCAAGGTGAGCAAAGGCTGGATAGATTTCAGTCTCTACTCTCCAACTCAGATGGACTCCCTCATGAAGAGCACAGCCAGTATGACCATAGGCATTAGCTCTGTCCCCACAGTAAGTGCAGGTAGGAGCTTGGTCTCTACAAGCTCACATATGGAAACATCCAGAAGCATGGCATTCTGGGCTCCAGCTCTATTTATTGGTGGTACACCCAGCTCTGCCATCTGTAGTGTCTCCAGACTGGCTTCGCTCAGTCACAAGATGGCAGCCAGGAGCTAAGAGTGCTGCCTGATGGCCTCTTCATGCCTGAAGATGGAAGAAATGCCTTTCTGTAACTCTCAAACAGGAGTCAGAGCTACAATCCCATGGAACTGCTCCTGAGCTAATCCCTTTGGGCCATGAGAACACTTGGCACTAATTGTTTAAGCAATTCATTATGGCAAGACAGATGGTGATTTCCACCAATGATTCTCAGTTGTCATTAACATTTCAGCCAGAACATTTTTCAACTCTGCCCTACTGATGCATCTCATTGCAGTATATTTAGCTATTCTGGCCCCACCCGTCATCTGCCAGCTGTGTACACTGATCCCTGGAATGACCAGCAATGCCCCATACACTAATTTAATCCAGACACTCCTGTATCTGGGGCCAAGCTGAACTCAATGGCCTACAACACAATGAGAAGGGATAGTTCCTTAGAAGCAAAGTCTGGTCCTACTAGGAAGATGGGAGAGTAGGAATGGATTCTGGGTGGACAAATTATAATTATTCACTACACCTTTCCTCTGTGTRGAAAAGATTTTAAAACATAAAAAGGAATAACAACTATGGATGCTAAATGTTTAACATATTAACACCCTTCAGATGTGCTCCTGGTTACTATGGAAACCCCCTGCTCATTGGAAGCACCTGTAAAAAATGTGACTGCAGTGGAAATTCAGACCCCAACCTGATCTTTGAAGATTGTGATGAAGTCACTGGCCAGTGCAGGAATTGCTTACGCAACACCACAGGATTCAAGTGTGAACGCTGTGCTCCTGGATACTACGGGGATGCCAGAACAGCCAAGAACTGTGCAGGTGCAGTATTGTAAATCCTAAGCCAGCTGCCTGACTGGTATGGCCCTTCATTAATACTGAATTTAGATAAAGAATTTATCTCAGAGCCAGGCGTGGTGGCACATGCTGGTAATCCCAGCAACTAAGGATGAATAAGAGAATCACAGGTTCTAGCTCGGCCTCAGCAACTTAGCAAGATCCTTATAGAGACCCTGTGTCAAAATACAATAAAAATAACTGGGGATGTGGGTCGGTGGTTAAGCACCCCTGGGTTCAATCACTACTACAAAAAGAAAAAAAAAATATCTTGGGAAAATATTGCAAGAAGCATCCCCTTGTCATTTTCTCAGGGCAATATACATTCTCAGGAATCTGCATCCCAAATTTACCAGGTTAGAAATTTTAATCAAGGCTATTTGTAACTAAGCTTATAGGTATAATGAACCAAAAAAAAACTAATACAAATGAATTTTTGTCTTATCATCTTAATCCTTCCTTGATCAAAGATATAAATCCAACCTCAGTGGACACCTGAAATGGATCAAAGAACTGAATGAAGCTTTGCGTGGTTTATATCAGTTTTCCAAACCTGGAAGCTATGTCTCCTTTTTCTGTTATGTTTATTCAAACTGACATTTCAGGGAAGTCTATTAGCAAGTCAAGAGTACAGTTTTATCATGCCACACCCTCATTTCCTCAATTGTCAAAGTAAATGTTTTAAGGGCAGTATGAGAAATCTTTCCGATTAGACTTCAGTTAAACTGAAGTGTACAAATTTTATTCTTGATTTCTCCAGTCCAGTTGATACAGGGAGTGAAGCTCTTCAGAAATGAAATGAAGTTGTTTCCCTCTAAGAGTAAGGAGGGCTGAAAATTTCTTACTCTTGTGTGACTTTGAGGAAAGAAGGAAAGGAAGAAGGGATTGTGCTCTTGTGGCGTGCTTCTGTAGGAGATCCCCTCACTGAAACAGACTCCTCCTTAGAAGACCTAAAAAGTCAACAGTTCAAAATCCAGAAGGTACATATATGATCTGAAGAAGCCTCAATAAAGTAAACATGTCAAGCAGAAAGCAATGCATCCAGAGCCATAACTCCAAGACTCAGGACAGAACAAAGAAGCACTGTGTCCATTCAAACTAGAGAGAGAGGTCATCAGAAAGAGTATTGGTAAGATCAAAGCCTGGGTGGCACACACCTGTAATCCCAGCAGCTCAGAAGCCTGAAGCAGGAGGATCACAAGTTCAAAGCCAGCCTCAGGAACTTGGCGAGGACCTCAGCAACTTAGTGAGACCCTGTCTCTAAATAAAATATAAAAAGGGGCTGGATAATATGATTCAGTGGTTAAGCACCCCTGGATTCAATCCCCAGCACAAAAAAAAAGATAAAAGCCTAGAAGGTTGATGCTCTTACTCTCAAAATATCTACTAAACCTATATTTACATGACAAAGATGACAAAGAAGAGAAACTCATACGGAAAGAAATAAAGCATGATCTTGCTGAGATATTCAGTAAATCTGCATTTTGTGGAACATTACATAGATGAAGTATAATAAATAAATGTCACCCTTGAAGCTCTTTTTTTATTATTATTTTGTAAAGGCAGTTAAGAGGTAGGGAAAAATCGAAATTCTATTCCAGTTTACTGCTGGCAGAGATAGTTTAGGAATTCCTCTTTAAATATTACAAATTAATTCCCACACCAAAACTCAGTGGAGGGGCTAAGGGTGTGATTCAGTGGTAGAGCACTATGCTTAGCATCTGGGAGGCCCTGGGTTTAATTCCCAGCACTCAAGAAAACAAAACAAAACAAAAACTCAGTGGAAAATGAGCAGCCTGAAAAGATTGGGGTTTTGGTTTCTTTGGGTTTTTTTTTTCAAAAGGCATTATTGAAAATCATCAGTAGATGAATGATGGGCTTTCAGGTCTTTTAAACTCTTGTAAATATGTTCCTAATTGTTTCCCTGGCATTATTCCTAGCCATCCCACTGATAGCTATCATTTGGAAGTTTGGAGTCTATCGTGCCAAAGGTCAAATGCTTGGAAGCCAAGAGTTGTTCCTGGGACTCCTCACTCACTCCTCTAGGGGCTGTTCCTCCCTCACACCTGGCAGGGACCAACCCTGAAGTTGGATTAAACTGGAGAATCCATCCATGATGAAAGGATGGCTTTCATTTTCAAGTTGAATGCTGAACTCTCTGTGGCCATTTAGTACTTTGTGAAATTTACCAGGATTTTTTGGAATAAAGTAGTTGMATGGTCATTGAATAATCCCAAAGAGTTGAGAGAGATGCTAGATACATTTAGATACAAATTGCCTSAGGATCAACTTTGATAATCTCATTTGCCCTGGTTTCATTGGGCTGGGAGTGCATAATCTCTACATTGTCAATTTCACACAGTCTTAAAGGTGAATGTAGTTAATCCCCATTGAAGAATTATACCCTGAAAAGCATTATGTCTAGAAACTATGAATATATTGCCCTATTTTAAGCATTAAGAGGTGATTCCCTAATCACTTGTCTTTGTTTCCCACAGTGTGCAATTGTGGAGGAGGCCCATGTGACAGTGTGACTGGAGAATGCTTAGAAGAAGGTTTTGAACTCCCTACAGGCATGGACTGCCCAACCATAAGTAAAAATAACCCACATGATTGACTAACCCCACTTTCTCTAATGTGCTGCAGGTGTGGGATTAAGAAGAGCTATGCAATATCACTCTCTCTGGAAACTGATGCTTCATTTCCACTCCTGGGTTTAACCCTGCCTGCACCTCCTCCAAATGGACCCTACACAAAACTACTTGGTGGTCCACTTGATTGCAGTCAGCCACTAGGTGGTTTACATTTACATGGCTCTATTTTAGAAAACTTATTTATCCAGTCTTCACATTCTGCATCTTGCTCGTGAGTAAATCCCTGTGATGGGGCTCAATTGGCTCATGTTTCTCTATTGTCCCTCCAGGTCCTCACATAACATGATACATAGACTATGCTTTATATCATCTGCCACAACTGAGACCAAAAGACATTAGCACCTTTTCCCAAATCACTCCAAATATAAAGTGGGACCAGAAATAAAATAGTCAGGCATTAGAAAGTGGACCTGCCTTATTTCTTTGATGGATTATTTTGTCACTCCTGTTCATCAAATCACAAGCATAATGGCTTAAAGACTTTTGACTTAAAGACTATTTAGCATTAGGCATCCCCTCCCCCAAACAAAAGYATCTTCATCCCAGAGTCCCTCTAGGCAGAGATTGCTACCAGTGATCCCATCTTGAAGATGGCACAGGATATGAGGCACAAGCAGGGSAGTGATCAAATGGATCCCCCTCCCCAGCCAGGTCCATTTAAGGACATCAAGATGCTCGCCTGGCCCTACCTCCCCCAGCAGCCTGATGTGCTGGCTGGGGACTCATTTCCTGAGAGAGTTTATAAGTAAATACATATTAACCTTTGAATAACAAATTAACATATTAACAAAATTAACCCTTTAGTCTCTGTTTACCAGAGCACAGCCTGAGGGAAAGGGCAAGTTGTAAAGGGGGTCAAGATAGGTTTCAAAACATGGTGTGTGTCCTTCTGACTGCTGGGTCCCAGGGAGTGATCACAGTGGTCAGAGGCACTCAAGTGTGAAAGGTGAGAAGTAATGAGAAGCTGGGGCCTGCCTCCCAGGAACCCAGGCTCAGCCTGAACTTTGGCACCATCTCAGAGACCAGGACATGACATTGGTCAATCTGGCAGACCTTCTCCTGCTGAAGTTTTCATCCAGACAGGAAGTGAGGCAGGCCCAGGGGAGGAGCTGAGCCCTGGAGGTACTGGCACTGAATGCTGATTTTGACAAGCTGACTTTGACAGACTTAGCAAATAGTGCTTCACTAGCTGGCACCAAGCAAGAGACCAAAGCCTGACTAGAGTAGAATCATCCAGGGGCTTTCCCAAGGCTAACAAAAAGCAGACAGCATTCCTCCTTGCCTGTGTCCCACAGATGGCTTGCCCTTTTGTGTTTCCTTTCTTTCTCAATGCAGTGTGCAGGGTTCATGTTAATATACCTTCCCTGTGCCCTTTGTTTTCATCATGTTTTAAGTGGGGATAGTGCCTGATGTACAGTTTGGCACATGCGTGGACTAGTTCTKTGGTACAGAGCAGCTTCTCAGGAAACAAAAATAAAATTGGTATTATCCAAGGAAGTACACATTTATAATCTACTTATAGCCATGTGCTTCCAAGTGACTTTTGAATCTGAAGAAATGACATGCCATTCATTTGACCTCCAGGCTGTGATAAGTGCATCTGGGATCTGACTGATGACCTGCGGTTGGCAGCGCTCTCCATTGAAGAAAGCAAATCTGGGCTGCTGAGCGTGTCATCTGGTGCCGCAGCGCACAGGCAYGTGAATGAAATGAACTCCACCATCTACCTCCTCAAAGTATGCAGAAATGTTGTACTTTCTGCTGTGTTTTTATTCRGGTTTTACAGGATCACACCTAGTAACTTCTAGGCCTTTTGGTATCTGAGCCCCATAACTATATTACAGATTGCTGAACCTGTAGGTCTACTATACAGAACACATAGTTTCAWAGGGAATTATGAAAAGTTGAGCTTGGTCTTACCATCTATAAAATGAAATAACTAAAAGAACAATATCTACTGAGGGAAGATAGACTCAGGAAGGTTTCCTTTGTGAAGCTGTACATCATTCAAGTCATTACCACAAACCCACCATTACCTTGCCTCAATGTACAAGCTTTTGAGGAGTTTCTCCAAAACATTTCTTCTTTTTGTCTCTCTCTCACCTTTCCTTATCACACACATTCTCTCTCATTTTCCCAACATATCTTCCCCCACCCCCCTCACACACACACATACACACAAACACACAYGCACTCTATGGAATAAACAAGCTAAAGGCAGACAGTGGAAAAATAGACTAAAAAGATCCTAKGAGTCTAACCTTTAAAGGCTTTCCCCCTAAATGATGGACTTCTATCACAACATCCCAACCAACTGATAATTTTAAAAGCAATAGTAGTTAGCCAAAAGGACAATAAAATTAATACCAGCATGGTTTTACTGTGTTAGTCAAGTTAACTTAATAGTTAAGAGCATAACCTTTGAAACCAAATTGCTTATGTTTATATCCCAACTCACACTGTGTGACGGGTAAGTTATTAACTTCTTTATTCTTCATTGTTTTTCATCTRAAGATAAGGATGGTTATTGTACCTATTTCATGGGTTGTGAAGAAAATTCAATGAGTTGATATATGTAGAGCAGTTAGAACTAGCACCTGTCAGTAGTAAATGCTCATTATTTTTTGGAAGGGCAAATCATATCCTCAGCAGTTAACCAAAAGTATGYAGTTTAAACCACAACAAACATCATAAAGTCATAGCTCTGGGTGAAATCTTAAAGAGCATTCTATTTCAAACTTAGAAATTGTTCTTGACCAAATTTTTCTGCTTGGACACAGGATGTAGCTCTRAGCCAATGAGCCACGCAGGCCCAGGCCCCAGAGCATTTAACTCCTCCTTCCTCAAAGGCACAACTCCAAGATGGATATCACTGTCACTGACAGGAAGCCARTACCAGGATGAAAGGGCTTAATCCAAGAAAAGCTACATTTAAGAACAAACTTCTCAGAAATGTGAAAGAAGGGGCAAGTGGYCTTAAACAAAGAGAATTGTTCCTTTTACACCAAAAGGAGAAAAGTGAGGTTCTGAAGTCTATTTTCACTGATCCTGGTGTATTGATCACTTCCTCCAAGGCCTGATCAGGGACATTCAAGAATACCATGAGCCTATATTATGCCTTTGTGCCAATTAGAAAAAGATACCCTTTCTTCCTGGTTGCCAGCCCACCCCAGAGCAGGGTCTTAGGCCCACTTTCAGCCCCAAGAACCTCAATCTACTCATGTGGACCCCACTATTAAGAACAGARAGTCACATTCTACCTTGAATCCTCCTATGCTGGAAGAGGTTTATGTATGTTTTTTAAAACCTGGTGTGTGCATCTACTGATAATTTCCAAAACATTTCTTTCCATAGGCAAAATTGTCAGAAAGAGAAAATCAGTATGTCCTAAGAAAGATACAAATCAATAATGCTGAGAACACAATGAAAAGCCTTCTGTCTGACATAGAGGAATTAGCTGAAAAGGTATGTGATCAGTGCTGGGACTGCCTTCAAAGAGGGGGGTTAGCCGATGGGAGCCTTGCTAGTCCCAAATGACTAAAGCTTAATGCAGCCCAGAAAAAAAAATGCAGTGACCATAAGCCCTAAAGTAAACCAAGGTCAACCCATGGAGAAAGTTAGCACATGACATCTCTACTGTCTTTTCCCATTTTGATGGATGTGCTGGTTTATGGTGAACTTTCTGTGTTATATATTTGATACTGATTAAAGCTGTTGATGTATGTTGCAATTAGTACAGTCATTCAACTGTTTACCTTAGCATTTTATGGGTAAGAGCTAGAGCATCCAGAAATACACTTTATTATGGAGAATATAAAATTTAAATGTTTGCTAAAGGATGCATTAAAAGACAAAAGAGGAAAAAAAGAAATTGTGCTGAGAAAGCAATTTTGAAAGTTGGTACAAAGTCACTTTCAACCCTCACTTTATAACATAGAATGAAATAAGTTCCACACAGGTTAAAGAGTTGAGCATAAATCTCAGATCCACAAGAAAATAGAACTAAATAATTATTAAACTCAAAAGGAAATAAGAATATACTAAAATATGCTATGAAGAATAACAATTAAAAGAGATAATAAATTTGACAAGATAAAACTTCAAATGCCCAAGGAAACAATTAAATTTTTTTTTAAAAGTCAAGTGAGAAACATATTAAGGGTAATATGACTTGTAAAAACTTTTACAGATTAACAAGGAAAACATTAAAACTGGAATTGAGTCCATGTGAGAGACTGTGTAATAGCTGTCCCAAGAACCTAATGGCAATATATCCATCCATCATCAATATTCRTCAAAATATATGAAACATGTCTCAGGCACCATGATTGTCATATTTAACACTTAATTTCCCCCTCATAATTCTCTACCAATGCTGTCCCACATACTTTGGAACTCCTTCTTTCAGGCCCTGGTGTTTGACATTATAAACTGTCAAAACTCTTCAAAACAAAGTTTTTTTTCTATGAAAAATAGGGCTGGAGATGTGGCTCACTTGCCTAGCATGCACAAGATTCCTGGATCCAATCTTCAGCACCACAAAATAAATAAGTAAACAAATAAATCATAGAGATTAACCTAACCCTGGTACTTTCTTTTGACCTTGGAACTCCTTAACTTTTAAGAGATTATACTTCTAAAAATGTAAATTATTCCAGTTTTGCCCTTGAAAGATTTACCTTCTTTAAAATGCATATGAAAATTGTGTCCCTAGTTCTTGTGCAATGGTTCTTATTAATCCAACCACCAGCATTTGAAAAACAGTGAAATTCCTTATGTTTCAAAGGAGATACTAAGAAAAAAATCTTTGTGAAAACTCATTGTTAATTCATTTTGGTGTCATGGTTGGAATTTATCAAAAGTGTCTCAATTCTCGAGGAAATGTTTTGACCCATATTAGCTCCTCCCACAGCTCAGACAGTGTTACTGATCCTTTTGTTGTGCAGTCTTCCCACTTCAAAGGTAAGTTCAATGCAGGCATTCACCAGGAGGAAAAAATGCAAGCTTAAAAGTGACATCACAGTAGAAAAGKTTCCTGGGTGACAAGATCCAACCATTAAAGCAGGATGTTGATGATAAAGCTACTTGGAACTTTCACCCAGCTGTTCTCACCAATTCTATTCAAAAATAACATCTGACTCTTCCAGTCCTGGTGGTGCAAGAGCATGCTGAAACATTTCAAAACAAATACCCAGAGCTGTTCCTGATGATGTCTCAAACATCCTTAAGCCTTTGGTCTAGAAAAATCCATGACTATGTCTTAGAAGAATTTAAGAAAAGCTTTGCCACAGAATGCCTATGTCAAGAAAGTAACTAATATTTAGCTTTAAGTAGAATGAAGTGTTTTACTCAATGTTCCCACAGTAATAAAAATCACATTAATGTTGCCTCTTGAATTTAACAAGCAATACCTCTGTTTGTGAATTATCTGTCACATGGGTCTCATGTGGCCCAAATCTTGCAAATTATATCCACTTCAAGTTACTGGTTTTGTGCCAATGTCCATATCTAAGTCCTCCAACCCCCATTTGGAAAGTCCTACAGCCTTTTCCCACCACCTACTTCTGGGAACTCCTTAATGGATACCCTTCYGTCTGTGTTCACAAACAGCCAGGGCTTGGAAGTAGCTCCCTGTTGCTGCTCTTGATCTTGTCTGTGATGAAAATACCAGAGATTATGCCAACATTTCACTCTCCTATGTTCCCAGAGCCACCAGGCTCAAGGTTAGAGTGGTGCCCCTGCCACTCTGCAAAGGTAGAGATGGTGGCTCTTTCCCAATCTCAGTGCTGCTMTTCACTGCCTGGATCTTGAAGGGGTGTTGCAAAGCCTGGAGTCACAGATCCCAGTCTGCAAGTATGGTTTATGGAGTGCTATACCATCCCCTCTACTTCTCCATCACCTCCCTCTCTGCTTTTCTTCCTATTCCATCAGCTACAGCAAAAGCTCCCTGTATATCAATTCACACAAAGACATCCTCAGGACTAAAAGGAAAGTATATCGAAAGTATCTGAGCTTCATTACTGGTTCTTCCAAAAACGCAGGATGAAACGGCAGTTTGTACTTCTCTTCCAGAACTGTGACTCTATACCTGGATACTAAAGTGAATAGAAGGCCCTGCTTTCAATGGCCTAGTAGGAAACTGACTTGTAAAAACAACTGTGACATAACATTTAGCAATGGAGGCAGTGAAGCTGAAGGATAGCTGGAAGGAAGGAATAGTGAACTCTTTCAGCAGGGATACACCAAGATGCTTCTTAGAGAAGGTATTGACTTGTGTACTGAGAAAGACTAGCAGTTTATCTTGATATCCAAGCAAGTGGAAAGTACTACAATGCAAGAATATGAAGCAACATAATATTTGTTTGGTACTAGAAGAATTTTGACCTTGGCCTTGCATAAGGCCAAAACAAATAGCAGGAGATAATGCTAAACAGCTTATCAGTGTATAAATTATGAAGAACCTTGCCCACCATGCTCAAGAACACGTAGACTTCATCTTGTGGACTTTGGAAGTCATGGAAGTATTTACCCAGAACAGCTGACCTGATTCACATTTTGGAAATGTTCTTCTACAGCATGGGTAATAGATTGAATAGTGAAGACTYGGATTACTAGGACACAGTTGAGAGACTGCCACAGTATCTAGATAAGAGAGGGRTTTGTTGCTGTCTTGCCTTCATTTGAAAAGAATTTGCAATATACTAGAGTGACTTAACACTGTGGTAGTAAGAAAGAGGAAGATAAGCCATAGTGACAAGTGAAAGAWAAAAGACCTGGTAACCAATTGAGGAGAAAGAAGGGAAGCTCTGTCTCAAATGAATGAAGGACTAAGATTAAAAATGCACAACAGGTTACYCTGGACATTTTAAGAATGAGTTATCTGTGGATGCCCAGAAGGCATTTAGAGACTGGAGTCTGCAGCTCTGAGAACAGATCAGGGCTGGAAAGATATTTGAAAGTGATTAATGTTTAGGAGGGAGGTAAGCACACAGAAGTATATATCATTGTTCAGATTCTAAAATAGCACACCAACATTCCTACTACTAGTTTGTCCAAGACTAGCCCATTTACATGTCTCAGAGTAATTACTAAAATTTCTCCCTTTCACTTGAAAAAAAATCCCAATTTAAAAAATAAAATATTTTGTCCCACTAGATATTGGGTATCATCCTCACTTCATCAGGTTGGTGTTATTAGATTCACTATTCTGTGTACACTACTCTTTATGCACCMCTATATGACCAAAGATTTCTTGCCACTTTTTATATAATAAGTACAAGAAAAATTCACTGTTGAGTTGAGTAAATGATTAATCTTTTGTAATGGAAATCATCAACCAGTTTATAGTTGTGAGGTAATTTTTTTTCATTTCAGCTTTTCTTAAAGCAAGATATACCTGTTTTATGATATGCCCACATCATTATTCCCCCCCSC